TGGCAGGGTAACGTTACCCTTTTTATTGTTGACGGAGTATTCCACGCAATAAAAACCGTTGATCCCGTTCCTATGCCTGCGGGCCCCCGGCAGCCCATGGAGGCGCGGCCCAAGGAGCGTCGTATCCGCCGAGTGGTGGTCCTGTTAGCGCCCGACGGCTCCACCGAGCTGGGCCGCAGGGAGTACCTGTACCGGGACAGGGCGGAGATGCAGATCATTAACAGGTGGGGGGGAACGGGGGGAGGGGGGTTGGGGGCGTGTATGTATGTGTGCGTGCGTGCGTGTGTGTGTCTTATGAGCTGTGAGCCGTGTGTGTATTTGTTTCATATTGATCCGGGCCTGACACTGGCCAGGGGCACCTAACCGTACCGTGTATGTGTATGTGTATGTGTATGTGTATGTGTATGTGTATGTGTATGTGTATGTGTATGTGTATGTGTATGTGTATGTGTATGTGTATGTGTATGTGTATGTGTATGTGTATGTGTATGTGTATGTGGATGTGTGTATGGATTAAGAGTCAGTCAGTTGATGTGTGGTGAGTTCTTTCCATGTGTTTCGGAGCTGTGTGGTGTCGCGGTTGTCCCTTGACATGAGGCCAGCGGTCAGGCAGGGCTTTTGCCCTTGCCAATCCAATTTAGACCAGTGGGTTTCCCACACATTTGTTTGAGGAAGGAAAAAGAAGAAATGAGATACGTGTATCTATATTGTATGTGTAGGTGCGTGTGTATGTGTGTGTGTGTGTGTAAATTTTGCTCGTCTGGAAATCCCCATTGACTTGAGCGGCTCGCGGCTCCGGCTCCGGTCACAGGGGTCTGAACCGCGCAGAGCAAGGCGGCTTCGGGCAGCAGGTGCTGCAGCCCCCCGCAGCCAACTTCATGCCGGGACCCACCATCCGCCCGGTGGGGGGGCGTGGAAGGGGGCGAGGCCGGGGCGGCGGTGGTGGTGGAGGGGGAGGAGGCGGTGGCGGTGAAGGTGGGTCTGTCTCTCATTGCTCTCGTGTCTTCTTTCATGTCTGTCATGTCTGTCTGTCTGCCTGCTAACTCTCTGTTTGACCTGGCGGTCACGAATATTTGCGGGCGGTGTTTTCCCTCTGCATCCATCTCGCATCGCACGACTTGGAACAGAGCTCTCCTGCTCTTCGCTGTGCTGCATTGCACTGTAGGAGGCCGAGGGGGGTACAAGCGCCGGCGGGCGGCGCGTGCGCCGGCGGTCACTGGCGGCGGCGGCGGCGGCGGCGGCGGCGGCGGCGCGGAGAGCGCGGAGGAGGACGACCTGACTGACACGGCAGATGAGGAGGACGACGAAACCCGGGTAAGTACGGCAGAACGGAACTTTGGGTTTATATGACCCGCGCCTGTTGTTGTTTAATAATAGCCTGAAGCTTCGGATGCAGGTGATGAAGAAGTTGGCGGCGGGTAGCAGCCGTCGTGCGGGCGCTCGGCGGCCGGAGCCGTCGACGGCAGCGGTGACGACGGCATCGGAGGGCGGCGCTGACGGCGCCGCTGCGTCGCCGTCACAGGGCGGCGGCGGCGGCGCCGCCGCCGCGGCATCCGCGGGTACGGACTCCGTCAAGCCGCCCAAGCCGCAGCGCTTGCGGGCTGTGAATCCCAACCCCAAGCCCCGCAAGCCGGCTGCACCGCGCCAACCGCAGCAAGCTAATGTATGCCCGGATTGCGGGAAACCGGGCCACGGAGCGTACAGCAGGTACGGCAGGGTACGACAGATTGGATCAGGGCCGTATCGGATCCGTTCGGATCCGTACTGTGCTGTAGAAACAGTGGACTCCTAATTCAGCCTCCATGTTACGTGGTCCCGGAGGGGGGGGGGAGATGTGCGGGGTGTGATTTGCTGCCGAAGAATGCGTGTGCATACAGTCATAGGGTCATACAAATGTATGGGATGTTTGTCATATGTTTGTCATATGTTTGCCATATGTTTGCCATATGTTTGTCATATGAGTATGTATGGCTGTTTGTGTTAGGAATAAAACATCTCGGCTCACTCATGTCGGATAGGGAAAATGAGTTTTCGGACTTCAGCTTTTGGACGGATTTGTACGGTTGGGAGTTAGCTAAGCGTCGAACTAACTGTCGTAGGTTGTGCCCTAACTACCGTGCTGACGTGGACTTGAGCGACCTATCGGAGATAACTACCGACGGCGAGGAGGACGACGGCGCGGCGGCCGTCACTGCTGACGGCGGGGGGGACGCTGGCGCCGCTGCCACGCAGCCCGTAGCCGCCGTCGCCGCCGCCGCTGCTGCCGAGGCTGCGGCAAACGGCGGCCAGGTACCCGATATCGGCGGCGTCGGTGGTACCGCACTTGCAACAGCGCCGCCGGCCCTTATCGCACCCGCTTCTGGAGCAGGGCCAGCGGCGGCGGCTGCCGCCGCCGCAGCGGCGGCAGCGGCGGCGGCAGCGGCGGCGGCGGCGGCAGCTCGAGCTGCCGCCGCTGCATCCACTCCAGTGACCGGGGGCCGTAGCCGGCGGCGACCTGCTCGTCGTAATGATGACGTTGATGTCGTAATTGACGAAGACGAGCTCGCTAGCGATGACGAGGATTACAACGCGTTGGCGGAGGCGGCCGAAGAGAGCGACGACGAATTTCTTTTCCGGTCGCGCGCTGGCGGTGGCGGCGGTGGTGGCGGCGGCGGCGGCGGTGGTGGCGGCAGCGCCCGCCGCGGCCGTCGTGCGCCATCCGCGCGGACCGGCGGTGGCGGCGGCGGCGGCGGCGGAGCCGGCACCGCTTCCGCCGGCAGGATCCGCGCGCGTCAGTCATTGGGTCGCACACGGACGCGCACTCGCTTCAAGGAGGAGTACGACATGTTGGAAGACGAAGAGGACGAGGAAGAGCCCGATCTCGAGAAGTCCGACGTGGAGGACCTGAAATCCGATCTGGAGGAGGAGGAAGAGGAGGACTGGGTGGCGTCGGAAGAGGATGATGACGACGGCGGCGGCGGCGGCGGCGGCGGGGGAGGGGGGAGTTACCGTGGACCCAAAGCCACGACCAGCCGGGCACGAAGCAAAGCTGCCGCCGTCGCGGCGGCGGCGGCCATCGGCGGCACTGCCTCAACGGGCACCGCTGGGACGCGACGCACGGCGGCGTCCGGGCGCCGCGGCGGCGGCGGCGGCATGTTTAGCGAAGATGCCGGCGGCGATGTGGAGATGCGTGACGGAGGGACGCCGCCGTCGGGGGCTGCAACCTTCGGTACGGCGGCCGCCAGCAGCGGCTTGCGACCCCGCGCCGCGAAACGCAAGCTCGTTGACTTTGGGCTGGACAGCGATGAGGAGGCGGAGGATGACAGTCGCATTGGCGGCGGTGGCAGTACGGCCGCTGCGACGGCGCTGCAGCAGGACGTCGGCGCCGGAACGGCGGCCGCGGCATCGGCGGCGGGAATGGATGCGGCTGCCGGCGGCATCGGCGGGAAGCAGTTGTCTTTGGGCCAGGTTGAGGCGAACATGCGAAAAATCTACACGGCGGCGCTGACGGCGGCTCGGAAGGTGGAGTGGGCGCTCAACATCTTTGAGAAATATCCGGATATCGGCATCGTTAAGGATTACCACAACTTCGTGCCGCCGCAGGTATATTGTAGGAGATGACAATAGGAGATTTCTCTTAGGAATGAGATTATTTTATTTTTGTCGTAGACAATTAATTTAGGCAATCAATTTTATCTAATTAATTTTATCCAATTAAATTTTATCCAACAATTTCATTTTAGGAAATGAACTTCTAGGAAGTTAAACTCAGGAAATTGATTTTTGGAATTTAATTTTACGAAAATATGTTTAGGAAATTAGAAACAGTTGTGAAAGATAGAGTAGGACTCATTTCCTATTTTAGCTGCGTTATTAATTATCAGGGGCCCCAGGGGCACTCTTCCCCTTCCGTCTTTCCTAATCTGTTCCCGCCCTCCCGCGCCAACTCCTACTCCTATACTTGCTTACAACCTATTCTTCCTCCACCTCTCCTCCCCTCCTCCTTACCATATGTTTCTTTTCGCTGCATATTTCTTCCCTCCCAGAACGTCATGTACATGCAGCGAATAGAGGAAAAAATCGGCGGTAAGCGGCCTGGGTTTCCCGGCAAGGGCGGAGAGCTTCAGTACCCTAGCCCGGAGGCCTTCCGCGCGGACTTTAAGCGCATCTACGACAACTGCATGTTGTACAACGAACCCGGCGTATCTCCGTACAACTTCCCCGATGCGCGCAAGACCGCAACCAAGCTCCTGGCTGCCGTTGACTTGGCGCTGCAACAGCGTAGCGGCTCATTGGCGGCATCGCTTGTTGCGGCCAATGTAAGTGTAATGGGGGGTTGCATCCCGGGCTTTTGAGGGGGTTTAGGGTCTTCATGGGATTATGGGCCGATGCTATTTTAACTGGTTTAAGTGATGTTGTGTAATAATATGGGCCCCACATGGGATTTGGGTTTTGGAGGTTTTGGTGTTATTTTATATTTTGGGGGTTCAAGCACGAAGTTTAGCTTTGGTGGCTGTCGCCTGTTAGTAAGGCGCCTTTTAGTCCTGTTTCAAGTCAGTCAAATCAATTTGAACCCCAAGGGAAGGGAAGGCAGTAAAGAGGCGCCGATTGATCGATCGTCCTGATGGGTTCCGGAATGTCACCCCCAGCAGGGGGACCTGGTCGTCCGTCCTCCCCACCAGCAACAGCTCCCTCCCTGGGTACCTCTGGTTTCCCCCGGCCCCTTTTTGCATGCAACTACTTCCCTCTATTCTTGATATCCCCCCATACCTGTAGCTTCCTCTTAACACACACATCCACATACACACACGCCACACGGCGCCCCCACCCCCCGGTCCCTCCGCACACATACATGCATACATACGCAGTCCATGGAGCACTGGCTGGCCTGCGTTCGTTGCCGCCGGTGGCGCCGGTTCAACTACCCGGACTTCGTGTCGATGCGGATGCACAAGGACTTCAGCTGCGGCATGATTGCGGGTCGCAACTGCTCCGAGGTGTGCGACTACTGCCAGTCGCTGCAGTGCATGTGCGGGGATGCCTAGAGGCTCGCCGCGCCTAACCAAACGACCTAACGAACCGGGGCTGCGGTGACTGGGGGCAGCCAGCCCGGTGGGTAGAGGTGTGATAGAGGCCATCCGTCAGTTGTGCCGAGTAAATAACACCAAAACCTCCCCGGCGACATAGGAGGCGAAAATGATGATGGTCTAGCAAGCTCCGTCTGAAAAAAGCGACGATCTGACGAATCCTTGACACAAATACCCCTGGCAATGGTGTGGGTTGCTGGCTGGTGGCTGGTGGATTGGCGGGGAGGGGCGGGAGGGAGGCAGTCTAGGGGTTAGCGGGGATACGTTAACAGTTTCAGTTAGGTCAGCGGTTGGGAGTTTTTGTGACAGCTGTTGCATGGGGTGTAGCCGTTGTAGCGGTTGTAGCGGTTGCAACGGTGGTGGTGGTGGTGGTGGTGGAATTCCACCCAACTGAAGTTCGCTGTCGGAGCTGCGAGGTGGCTGCTTGTAGTGCACAACCGAGCCAGGAGAGCTCTGGATGTGCGTGTTTTTGGGGGTCATATATCGGGGGGGGGACCTTTGTGGGGTTTGACTGTGGGGTTGAAGGCGGGCGTGTGTGCTTGCGCAACGATCGGTATGTGCAGCCCCGGCCGGTGTTGGCAGGTAATGGAAATGTGCGTGTAGGGGCCTCGGGGAAAAGCAAGCTTTGTGATCTCTTTGATGCTCTATGTGCTGTGTGCGGTGTGTGTGTTGTGCTGGTGAAGTAATCTGGATTTCTGTTTTTGCAGCGGCGGAGGGGCGTGTTGGGCCGTTGGGGCCGTTCGGGGCGTTGAAATGATTTCCTTTTTGCGCTGGTGCTGCGGCTGGTGTTGCAGTCTAGAGCTTGTGTGTTTTCTTGAAAGTGTGCACCCACACCTGCATATAAGGGGGTTGAGAACCTAGGGAGGGAGCGAGAGGGGCGGGATGTGTGTTTCGGCGTGTGTGTATAGGGAGGGGGCACACATCCCGAGGGCTAAGGCAGGGTTTTGGAAGAGGGCTGTTTGCCGTACGTTGTACAAACGTCGCTTGGTGCGATAGTGAACTCTGGCCTGAAAGGAGCGGCGGGCGAAGAGATTGTTCAGCTTTGGCGGGGTGGGGGGGATGGATGCGCGGGGTGGTGGCGGGAGTTGGTAATTGGGTCATTGCGGGGCGGGGGAGGAGGAGAGGTTGCAGGGAAGGTTTCCGGATTTGACCTCCGCCAATTGATTTGTTTTGCTGACCTCGTGCCGAGAAACATGTTATGCCATTTTAACGATTGCATGCATTAGGCGGTGTGTGTAAAGCTTTTGACCGGCTATAGATCGATCCCCCTACCTACCTGGTATGTTATCAGACAGGGACTGCGCACATTCTACCATACCAGGGTGCGATCTAAAGATGTCCCAGAAATCTTACATAGGGGGTATCAACCGCCGTTTGTTTGTTTGTCTGTTTGTTTGTCCTTTTCTATACCCTCTCCACTACTGTTCTCTTTCCCTTCCTTGCATGTATGGCAATACTAGTCGCGCCTGGTTGCGTTTTTTTCTCTACCCGGGGAACAACGGGCACGGCTTCCTTTTCTGAGCGCCTCGCTCCGTCTTAAATTTGCTTAGATTTGCGCCTTCTCGGCCACTGCTCAACAAGAAGCTTTTATGCATTTTGGTTGATGGATGCTTGATAAGCAAGGCCAGTCTAAGCGGTGGCGGGGAATATGTCGCCGGTGGCGCCGGGGAATGCACTGCTAGCTGACAATCCGTATCTTGGAACTCGACTCGACTGTCTTTTTTTGGCTCCCGCCTTCTTGCTTTGCACAACAAGGGATTGGGGCAAAGAAGGTGGAACCTTGTAACGAATGGTCGGACTACTGGCGTTGCTGTGCGTTTGTAGACCCCTTGTACGTGTTTGTGTGTGTGTGTGTGATGCCATCTTGATTGCTAGTTAAACCTTTACACCAAACTCTTAAAACGTGCTTTAGCCTCAGGTGCTGGCGCGCGGCGGCTCAGCAGCTTTCGGCTGAAAGCTGCTGCTCCTGCTGCTGCTCCTGCTGGCTTGGTTCGTGTCTGGTCGTGTGCTGTTTCACACATGCGATCACATCTGCCGTCACATCTCCGCAAGTATCTCCACCATTTCCCCCACGGTTTTAGTTTATGGACGTTGATCGGAACTGTCACCTGCCCCGCAACTACTGCCAAGAGCAATAGCTAGCTAGGCGAGTGTGTCGGCGGCATGCGTGCATTTGTATGTATGTACGCATGCGTGCGTGTGGCGGCACGTGTGGTGATGTCTGAGGATATATATGTAATAAGCAACCATATGTATATATGCATCATCGTATCCACCGTGTACGAATCATATATTCCACCAACTGACAACAACGGACTGTTACTGATGCGGTTTAAATAACCCAGAGGTGATGAAAACGAATCTCCGTCGTCATCCGGCACGTCAGTACAACGTGAAGGCAGGCAGCAGCAGGTATGCCGGTAGCTAGTTAGTTAGTTAGCTAGTTAGTTAGTTAGTCACCACGTATGCATGGATGGCACCGTTATTTGGCTACCCCACGTGCATTCACACGCGGTCAGCAGCCCCCGGCCTGTCAGGTCCAACAGGTCGAGCCAGCTAGCAGGAATCTGCCACCCGGCCCCACGCTGGGGAGTCCGCCGGCCACCAACAGCACCAGCAAACAAAAATTGGTGCGGTGTTTCGCCGCTTGCACGGATACTTATTTGGGCCTTGCTTGGAAAGAAAGGGGCGACCGCAAGGAACTTTCCTTGCTTCAACCGGACATCCCCCCCAATTGTATCGAAGCTGCTGTTTCTCTGTCTGTCTCTCTGTCTCTCTGTCTGTCTCTCTGTCTCTCTCGGCTCTCCGATTCCCTACCAGGCTGACCAGGGGTAAACCTTCCGTAACTTGACAGCTTGCACTCGTAAAGTTCCGACCGTAAACTCGTGACTGGTTTCGGGGTTCGGTATATCGTTTTGCATCCGTGTTTGGAGCCACGTTCACGGATTGAATGGACAAAAAGTTATTACCGCTTGGGAGATGAACCCCATAATAACCCGAGTTGCAGGCATACGTTTTGTGATAGTGGCTATGTACGTATGCATGTATGTAGTAATTAAATGGTCATGGATTCCGTTGATTTACATTAAGCAAACAACGAAACTATCCGGTATTGAGTATTGTCGTCAAACACGCATTACATTTCTGCACGATATGTACGCATGCAAAATGTACGAGATGGGATTTACATATTTTTACAGACATACATATTAGCATCACCTACCAGCGCGTGCGCACATACATATAACACGCCGCCGCTGCACTCCTCCGTTGTATCTAACACAACAGAGCGCTGGTCCGCGGGATAACAAATTAGTGCAGCCCAGCAGCGGGGGCAAAAACAATAATCAGAAGATAGATCGACCGGAGCAAGGAAGCAAGCGACTGACGGCGGGCTAATAACAACAAGGTGTGTTTACATGGCCCCTTCCCCAGCCGGCGATGTGGTAAGTATATACATATCTCGCAGCCGCCGTCACCACCCCGCAAGTCCAAGTAATTCGACAGTTCGTTCCCGATGGCCGGCGCGCGTGTGGCGTCCGGCAGCCAACATCAGCCCGCTCGCGCTCCAGGGTTTGTTACATCTTATATCCCTCGCTTTCATACAATTTATCTTTCCCAGTGCTAAAGGTTCAGCGGAGGTCAACCATACGCAGAAACATCTAGGAAAGCTCCCTCAGCAGCAGCAGCAACTCCATCTGCTGCTCTGACGAGCTTGTCGCACCTCGCTTTTAAAGCAAGATTATGCATCGCAACTCAAGGTGTGTAATGTAACATACACATGCATGCGCACATATCATCATAGATGCGGGTCATTAATTTAGCAATTCACAGGTCGTTGGAAAAAGTCGGTTAGCCAGCAGCAAGGGAGGCAGCTGGTAGGCCCCTGCATGCTATAGCTATGCCGCAATAAAATTACACTCACGAGAACATTAACATTAAGGATATTGTAATAACAATACTATATATGGCCATTGGTCAGCTACATACCGGCGATGGATGCACATGCATTTACATCCACGCACCTGCAGAGACACATACACACATACACACATACACACATACACACATACACACATACACACATACACACATACACACATACACACATACACACATACACACATACACACATACACACATACACACATACACACATACACACATACACACATACACACATACACACATACACACATACACACATACACACATACACACATACACACATACACACATACACACATACACACATACACATATACACATATACACACACATACACATGAACCGTTCCCTCGCTCCTCAAGCGCGCTCTGCTGTTCAGAGTAGTGGCAGAGACCTATACTGCTGTGGAGTAGTATAGCTGGCCGCTGAAAAAGCCTCGTTAAATGCTGGCGGCAGAGCGCCTTAGCGCAAATTACGCATATGTGTGCCGTACTATGTACGGCTGCTTTTTTTGCTATGGAAAGTAAGGCGTTACCGATTGAAAAAAAGACCCAAGTACGTAATAAGCCCCTGAAATTTCCGAACTCCAAATACGCCTCATAATGATGAGTTTGCCCATAGATAGATTATAACACACCCAAGGCACCTGCACCTGCTACCTTCCCCACGCATGCATGGCGCCCGTCCGAATCGAAGATGTACAGCAATGTGCAACCACACGGACCGTATGTTCTCGCATGTATGATATGGCTCTGCAAATAAACCAGCTGCAGCACACTTCTCGCGCTGTTCAGAACCAAAAGATGGCTGCCATGTGAGTCATATACGCATATACGCCGCCTTACTTTAAACGTCCTTGCTTGGCGATGCTTGCAAACATGCAAAGTCGCCGCCGCCAAGCAGACGTTCAGCACAGTGTACGTGGAAGGCTTCCGTACGCGCTTGGAAAGGTGCATACAGCCTCCATATTGCCCCGAAAGCCGCTTTCGCCCCACCATCATTGCATTCGC